GATTTATGTTGGTTCTTAAAAAGAGAAACGAAAAATACAGAGACTAAACGAAAGCGTAACTCTTTGCATAGATCCTTTGAAGAAAAGAGAACACGTTATAGCAACAAAAATAAGAATGATTTCTAAATATCGTTTTCTTTTGTTTAGAAAGTAGAGTATTCTACAAGTTTTATTGCATTCTCAATCTTCTAGGTGTTATCTCATCTCTCAGCACAAAAAGTAGATGGATAGATGAGTGGATGGGTGGGTATTAGGTGGTACAGGTGGATGATAGAAGGATGTATGAATTCATAAATGGGTGGGTGGACAAAAAGATGAAACCAGAACTCTGCAACACGAATTATGCCATGAAAATGTCGTTTTTAAGCATTTTGATCTATTTTCTGTTTTTGAATGAAATTGGACCAGTTTGTCTGACTCTATGATGATAAATTGGAATTAAACGAGTGAAAAATCGTACGTCTAGTGAGCTGGTAGAATAATTTGACTTTTTATAACTTTCGTCGATCGTAAATGACGTTTTTTGTGAATTTTGACCTATTTTTTGAATTTTCCCGAAAACTCAGACCCGTTGGGACAAATCTGAAGGCAGATTCGGATTCAGCGGAAAAAAATACATAGAAATACATGGGTCTGAATACCAAATCCGATATTTTTTTTTTGTGGGGCTGTGTAATTAATCATTGAATGTGGCTGAAAATAAGAGGTACCATTATGGCCAATTAGGTAATAGAAAGTATGACCGGAAAAACGGTATCGTATTTGATTACTGGAATAAGCTGACCAACAACTATCGCATACAGGGTGATTCAGATCTTATCCAAAACAAAAAATTTGAATGTACAGAGGATTCTTACAAATACAATTTTGTAAAAAAAAATCGATAAGGCCAGTTCGAAAATGATTTAAAAATACACATCTGCACGGTACTAGAAACTGGTTCACTGTAAAACCTGACTTTGCGCAAGGTAAAGCATGCAGTCAGTGATCAGCACGGCGGCAGTGTAATAAAAAATAAATGGACAAAAAATTGGAAGAATTCCTTTTGCAATGAAAGAAATACATGCAATTTTATAACATCACCTATTTCATGTCAGTAAATTCAACTGCTTCTGCGCTATTAATTCATAAATTATACCGATGTGTAAATATATTTAGGTCCTTCTTATCCACTTTCTACGAACTAACGCAAATGTTGTCTTGCTTCACCATATCACAAATGTTTCACCATAACACAAATGTTGTCTTGCATTTCAGCCATTTTTGACACTTGAAAACCAACATAAACACTATCGCAAAAACGTTAATACTAAAATCGGATTTCAGTACTTGAAATCGCCTAGGGCCACGTAGAGAGAGAGAGAGAGAGAGAGAGCGCGCATTGCGCACAGCGCATAACGCGAATGACGCTATAGACTCAGTGGCGGCTCGTTAGAGGAGGCTGGGGAGAGGCTAAGCCTCCTCTGCAGTTTTTGATAGTATTGCAAAAGTTTTCTTTTCGTTTTTTTATTTTACATTATATAGTTAATATTATTTAAGAAATTTTCTTACAAATCTATATTCATATGCAACTAATTATGTACCTACTAAGGGAGATCTCGAGTACGTAAATATACGATTTTTAAATGATCACTATTTTTCGCACCCTCCGAATTCGCATTATAGTCGATGGCAGCTAACTTCCTCAAGCCTCCAAGCCTTTTACTAGAGCTCTATAGGATGCGTGGCCTTGAAATGATGGTACGGTTATGTACATTCGAGCTTCAGCAGTCGACACGGAGGCTTGTTGCCCACCTTCCATCTCTTTTTAACAAGCGAATCTTTCACTATAGCCCTTCTTCTCTACCACTTCAGCGCTCGCAGTTCGCACGAAGTTGTATCATACAACTACGTGCGAACTGCGAGTGGGTAACATACAACTTGTATGTTACATTTCAACATTTCAAAATAAAAATTAAAAACCATTGGTCATCTGTACGGTAGGCGCGTTTTGTTTTTAACTGGTGTTTATATCAAGTTTTTCTTAGGAATTTTTGTGAGACGATCATAATTAATTATTAAAACAATCATTTATGATGAAAAGCTCATAATTAAACAGAAATCGAGATCAACACTTCTTTGCCGTCTTTAGTTGCAGTGGGTGAAAAACAAAATAGGAGATTTAACGACAATAATTATAGAAAAAACGACTGGTTAACTGCATCAACTATTAGAAATAAATTATACTGCTGGCAATGTTTATTTTTCACTAATGGTAATTTATAGGTTTGGAGCAGGGTCGGTTTTAACAATTTAAAAAATTTAACGAGAGGCCTCGTGTAACGGTCCCGTTTTTTTTTTTCGGATTTATTTGTATTTTTACCATAATGATAATCGTTTGATGGTTTCAATTATGCTATCTTATGTTAAATCATTGTTAAGTGACCTATAAAATCTATTGGTGCGCGTTTAGTGCTTCGAATTTTGTTTGAATATGGCTAAAAGGCCTGGTACGTCCATCTAGTGAGCTTTATCCTAAATGCTACCACATATGAACTATTTTCTGACGCGTCGAATGTTGAGGTAAGCGTCGAGTAGGAAGACAATGGAATGGACAGGTTAGAGAGAACGCTGGGATACCACCGAGAGTATGGACGGTGAGGATAGCGGTCCAAAACCATTTTAATTTGAAGCTTAAAATTCCTTTAAGTAAGCAGAATGGTGCTACGAAACTTAAATTAGTGCCTCAGAATATATGGCCATGTTTTACAGTCAGTAAATAAGCGCAGGTACCTGTATGTTATTGTGAATTACGTATTTTCGGACAATCACGTAAGTGTGCACTTATTTTTGACTAATTGCGTCTGAAAAACTATATTTCCGTGTTCGGACTATATACTACTCCCTTTCCGTCGTACTGGGAATAATAAGAACTTTATCGTTGTTTTGATTTTGATATTCTATTTGTATGTACTGATCACGTATTGCATACGTTTTGAGTTGATGTCCACAAATTCTTTCGAATTGTGGCTTATGTTCTGATTGTTATGTAATAAATATTACTACAAATTTCTGATTTTATTTGTTTGTAATTAGTTTCTTTGTTATATAAAATTCTTAAAATCAGTGGCGCCTATATTAACTGTAAATCCATAAGTAAGTATACGGAAGATTGTATAGCCCCACAGCTCACCCCCTGTAGATTAGAGCTCTTTTTAAGCTGGCATAAGTAAGTATCTTTATTTTTTGTATATGTTGACCTTTTAGTAGTTATTACTTTGTATTTTTGGAGCATTATAATTACCTTACCTTTACAAAAAATTAAGTACGTTATANTATTGGTAACTTTTAGATACGTAGTGCATGGAGAAGTTGTTGAAGGATTTGTTGGATTTTTTGACATAACAAGTGGGAGAAATGTAGATGAATTTGGAAAATTTGACTTAAAAAATAAATTAATTGCTCAAACCTGTGATGGTGCTACGGTTATGTCAGGTCATATTAATGGACTCCAAAGAAAAATAAAAGACGTCGCGCCTCAAGCTTATTTTAATCATTGTTACGCACATAAATTAAATTTAGTTTTAAGTAAAGCTTGCAACGGCATTAAAGAAGTGAGAATTTTTTTTTCAAATCTCTCCGGATTTTCCTCATTTTTTTCCAAATATACTAAAAGATCTGACGTATTAAATAAAATAATGCAACACAGGATTTCAAGTTGCTCCCACTCGTTGGAATTTTTCTTCTAGAGCTGTTTTTACGGTCAAACTTATAGAAAGAACTAATTGAAGTTTTTGATTTCATATCGGATCGGAGTGAGCATTTTTTAAATAATCAACAAACTTTAGGATCCGCTTATGGATTAAAAAAATGGTGGTAAAAAAAAAATTCAATTTTTCGAAAAATGTACAGTGATTTTTTAACAAACCAATTGCAGGATAAATTAACTGACGTAACATTTTCTAAAAAGAGAATTAATTCACTTTTATCAAAATTAAAAAAATTCCGTAATAATAAGATACATTTCAACACGTTATATGCAATTTTCGTAGAAGACACTGACGAAACCTTTAACAATGACCCACCCTCAAAGAAATGAAGACAAGTTTAAAGTTTTTTTTTTTCAAGCCTCCTCTGCCAAACATACCACAAGCCGCCACTGTAGAGACTATAGTTGCTCAGTTATGTAAGGGTTAAAAGTACTACAATTTCAATAATTTTTTTTCTCGGAAACACAGGCACAAACTAAAAAAACTAAACTAAACAAAACTAAAACTAAAAAATACTATTTTATAGTATGTCGCTGGTCAAACATCTGATGATTTCACTTAATCAGACGAAATGGTGAATTTGCCTTATCTTATGGTTATTAATAACTAAGGGGGATTAAATTAGATAAATCTGAATGTTCTTTTTCTGTTCAAATTATATGTTACTGAAAATTCACTATTTTATGAATGGGCATTCGATTCAATTCGAAGTTTCTGAACTTCATTACATTATTTCAGTTTTATCATAAAATAGATGAAATTTTCATGTCAATTAAACAGATTTATATTGAAAAAATGCATTGGTGATTAATGAAACAAAAAGTTGACGTCTATATAGAAGTACTACCACACCAAATCTTGGAATTTAAGAAATATTTTTTGATAATTAATGTACATTTTCCTAAATTAGGTACAAAGTAAATTTTAACACACACCTGAAACAAATCCTTTACATTTTAAGCACATCTTAAAATTTACATATAAGACGAAACGCTTAGTTGAGTTAATAATAATCAAAAAGTTTAATATTTATGGCAGCAACAAATTTTATAATAAATCATTCCACAAAAGACGAAAATTCTTAAGAACTAATGTGTATTCTAAAATTTTTTTCTAGAAATTCAAATTATGTTAGCAATATTTTTTCCACAACCCCAATAGAAATGATATTGGACATTATTTTTACTAATGTCTTGAATATCATTTATAAATTATTTTAAGTATAAAAAAATAAATATTGTTAATTTTCAGGCATACCATTTTCAAAGAGACGATGTTGCTTTATTAGGATTCTATAAATACTTCAAGGAAGCTTCTGAGGAAGAAAGAGAACATGCTTATAAGCTTTTGGAGTACCAAAACAAGAGAGGTGGTCGTGTTGTGCTGACCAACATTGAAGCTCCTGAAAAACAAGAATGGCACAATGCCGCAGAAGCCATGAATGCTGCTCTCGATTTAGAGAAAAGAGTAAATGAGGTAGGAACAAAGTTTTTCCACGGGGTCTTAAATTCAATAAATTCAATTTTGATATTGTATTGTTTTTTTTTAACTACAAAACTATACAATCAATTCGTTTTAAGTCTAACATTCTCTGTATTATGTTCAAAAATAATCAGCAATTTTATTTAAAAAAATGGAACATATTTGAGCATATTTCACCATTTAAGTTCACAGTATTGAATATTTTAATCCCAGTCTTAATTCACCAAGCAAGGCCACACCATTTTTGGGGTCAACATTGCTATCGGTTAAAAAATGTCAAATACACATTATATTATTACAATGAGTATTAAATTTAATATTGATGATGATGACATATACAATCACAAATAAAAAGGTTGCAAGTAGCCCACCTTGAAGAAAACATCATTTTGGTAGGTACTGTGACCTTAAGAGATGGCAATTGAGAAAATTAGTGTGGTATACTTTTACTATTAACCTTTCAGTTTTGCAAAGGCGTTAGAATATTTTTCCTTCATTCACTTATATCTCACAAACTATCTCCATTCATGTTATTGATGCTATTGGGAATAAAATGGTTTGCACGTTTTTCATACAAATTTTGACATCTTTATCTTCAGCCAATTTAAAGGTAATTAAGAAAAATCCTCTTCAAAGTAACAACTTGAACACCATGTGTTTGGGAAAAGAACCATTAATGAGAAAAATGTTATATGAACTACCTCTATAATTTTTCCGAGAGGAACTCACCCTCTAGTTTTTTTTAATATAAAAGGAACACTTTGTACATAAATTATGTATTTAGAGAACTATATTTTGCTTATAAAGTAATTAAAATCAAATTATATTTTCCTGTAATAAATTAATCTGATAATCAAATATAACTATTTTACATATAACAAGTAATAAAAATCACTCACTTGACGTCGGCCAAGACTTGTAGACGAGCGGTCCACCCCTAAAAAAGATGCTTAGAAAATCAAGGTCACCGACCACGAGGAGGGGCCAGGATGAAACCTTTTGTAATCGATGCATTGAGTTATTGCGAACAAAAAACCTAAGTAACATTTTTGTGTCTGAGTGGCAACTTTTAGCCATTTTTCGACCTTAAATCGCCCCTAGTTCGAAAAGGTAGCATTTTACGAAAAAATGTCAAGAGACAAAAATTGTTTATTTTTGCCCAAATTACCTTTGAAAATTGTTTGCAGAGCGTTTTTTGCAATATTTTTATTTTGCAACTTTTTTGTTAATAACAAATTACCTGCCACTCGGACACAAATATGTTACTTGGGTTTTTTGTTCGCAATAACTCAATGCATCGATTACAAAAGGTTTCATCCTGGCCTCTCCTCGTGGTCGGTNTCCGAGTGGCAGGTAATTTGTTATTAACAAAAAAGGTGCAAAATAAAAATATTGCAAAAAAACGCTCTGCAACAATTTTCTATTATTAATCTTATAAATAATTATATGATATAATACAATATTTGATGAATTTGAAAATATGTATGAGTGTTAGAAATACTAAATAGTAAAAATTGTAACAAGTAATGAATGAATAGCGTTTATTCGATTATATGCACGACAGCGCTATATCTATATATAGCGATATGTAGGGGTGGCACGTGGGCACTAGCAGCCGAAATTCAACTGCAAATTTAATGGGTTAAAAAAGGGAGCGGGTTTAAAAAAAATAGTACATTAAAGTATAAGTCTCGAGGATCATTTTGTGCTTTTGTACATTCCGAAAACTTTGGTAGGAGCTGAAATATGAATTTTTAAATTTGGCAACTTTTAGCCATTTTTCGACCTTAAATCGCCCCTAGCTCGAAAAGGTAGCATTTTACGAAAAAATGTCAAGAGACAAAAACTGTTTATTTTTGCCCAAATTACCTTAGAAAATTGTTTGTAGAGCGTTTTTTGCAATATTTTTATTTTGCAACTTTTTGTTAATAACAAATTACCTGCCACTCGGACACAAAAATGTTACTTAAGTTTTTTGTTCGCAATAACGCAATGCATCGATTACAAAAGGTTTCATCCTGGCCCCTCCTCGTGGTCGGCGACCTTGATTTTCTAAGCATCTTTTTAGGGGTGGACCACTCGTCTATGATTGGCCAAAGCTTAAGATCTCTATTCTTCACTCCCCTTTATTTCACTATCCTCACTTCTATTTAAAACAATGTTCTATCAAAAGTGGTAAAAATCCTCGAACTTTTTTGGTTTGTTTTTGTTCTTTAGAAACATTTATTTATATCAGAAGATATTAACATCAATCCTTTTTTATGTTATTTTTATATACATTACACAATGATACAGTTTTTAGTTTTTCTGCCCTTTACCATAGTTTGTTAGGAGCAAGTATTTTTCAATTATAGTCTTTCCGAAGTCAGTTGAACATGCAAAAAAACGTCTGGTAATAAAATTTAATGAGTTTCATAGGCGTCCCTAAAAAAATTTCTGCTAAAGGTAAAAAATTATAATAATTTGTATATAATGTGTTCAAAATGTACATTATATGTTCATTTGGCCAACAACATATTTTAATTATTTACGTCCTCGAAACAATTTTATTATATTGGTGGTAAATTTCGTTTTGTTCCGTTTCAAAAGGTCTCCAAAATGCCATGTTGTGATAATATTAGTAAACAAAATATCCCTCTTACTTCTCCCTTTCGCAATTGTAATATGAATGATTGATAGATGCCTATAATAAATTAAAATTACTTGAATCACACCAAATTCCGCATTGCTGCACTGCACTGCTGGGCAATTTATCAACCACTTGTCATCTGCTGTGATTTATTGCCCAGTAGCCCAATGCAACTGTGATCGTTTTCCTTTGTTTGCGCTCGCATTCTTCAACTGAGCTTATACATTTCTATCGCCTCCACGTTTAGTTCGACCAGACTTGTATATGGGTATGGCTAAATAAATATGGGAACAAGTTTTTAAAATATTTCAATGCCGCGTTGCTGCGTCAGCGACCGAACCTGGTACATATCAATATGTTGGTTCTTCAATTGATATTGGAAATACTATATCATCTCTCATCCTACAGTGTGAAAACCAAAATTCTCCAATAGACAAAAAGGAAACGCCTTTTTTTCTATTCAGGTGGTTATGAAATAATAGGTTCCAAACAACATACCTATTTTTTTCTGGTGCTATATATAACCGAGTCACCAATGACTTGTATCATTTACTATATTTGACAATGATCTTTGAACTGTTTTTCAAGATGTTTAAAAACGCCTTTGTCAAATAAGCATCTTCGGGCTGCTGTATTTTTGTAAGGAGTCATTTCAACTTATTGTGATAATTTATTAAATTAAGATTTTATAATATCGAGGGTTTCCTGCCAAAAGGACGTATCCACAAAAGTGCCATTTTGGGTTTATGAGCTAATTTTGATACCCAATACCATAAGTTTGTCACGACAAAAGGTCGTATCTATCTACCACATGAATAATAACGGCTCCACGCAATTCTTTTCTTGGTCGTATGAACAATTATTACCTCGATTAACCTGGCAGAAGGTTGTATGTATACGTCCCTTTGTAATGAAACTGTACATATATTTTCTAGGTCGTATGAACATATGGCTTGTGTTTACATACGGTTACTCTTCAGTTACAAGTTATAGTACCTAGTCAAGTTTGTACCTGTTGTTCTCAAATAATTCGTTAAGCAGATAATAATATGCGATAAATATACTAATCAACAGTTACGTAAGGTAATGAACAAACTCTTAAATTTTATTACTGATTTTTTAAACGTTTTTATTAGTTCCTGAAAAATAATGTTTTGGTTAATACGCCCTTCTCTAGAAACCCTCGATATATTTTAGTCCTAATAAAAAATTCAGTATTACATTCGTTAACATCTAAATGATTTAATTAATTACAAGGATAAGAGCCATATGGTTTTCTCTTTTACCACACTTATCAAGCGATCCCACCAAAGTAACAATAAACATGTCCCTGCTTCTATCTATCGATTAGAATATTCCGTTCTTTTAAGGTAATTTTGTTTCTTTTTTTTAATTTTGAGTATCGCAAAAAAATACATTTTGAACAATTGAAGAACTTTAATTACTATTTTCCATCGCAGGTAGTGCAGCCATTGACATTTCTGAAAATGTTTTAAAACGACAAACATATAAATAGAGCCTTATTGTTAACCAACTTAATAACTTAGTTCCATCACCTTTAGTTATAGCAAATTCTTTCAACTATGTTTTTCACATTAAAGTCTGGAATTAGAGAAACTGATTGGTTGAATTTAAAAATTTGTTGTGAAATAAATTCAAATCATAAATTGCTCTAATTTCACATTATAATTTGAAAATCATGGCCTGTGAAAGAACTTGACTTAACAAAAATTCTATTAAACATTATAGAGATAACGAAAGAACCGAAAGAACAAAAGAGTTCTCCAAACCAGGGGTTCTCAAATTGTGGTACGTGTACCCCTTGGGGGTACGCGGGGCAGCTTAATGAAAAATTAAACCATATTTATTTCTTTCCGTTTCGTAATCACGCAAGGTTATAATTTAATAATGGAATCTAATTGAATATTTGTGTGGTACTTCTCATAAATTTTTGAAATACAAGAATTTCTTTAATTTTTCCCAGTGTAAGATCATGGAAAACATGATCACTCATATAAACAACCTACCTATTCTACCTACCTTTCCTATTTTGTCCAGAATTTTGCAAAAAATACTCAATAATTATGATTAATTCATGTGTTGTTTTATACGAGAGTCCTGCGGGGTGTGATTATGTTTATAGTAGCATATGCGATTCTCTGTATATTCAACAGGCGTGTAAAGTTCAGGAACTGTAATGATAAACATAAGAAGTAAACATATGCTTTTTTCCTTATTCTGAAAATATTGTCAGCTTCTATACTGTGATATACCCCGGAGAAAACTTGTATAACTAGCACAGTTAACTGATATTGTTTGTAACTGACTTAGATTTTAGAAAACCCTCGTCAAAAACCTGCTATGAATTCACAGAGTCTTGTTTTTTCAGAGCCTACTTAATCTCCACAGTGTTGCTTCTGGACATATGGATGTGAATCTCTGTGATTTTCTAGACACGCACTACATGCAAGAACAAGTCGATGCTATCAAGGAAATTGGGGACCATGTTACTAATTTGAAGAGGGTTGGTGAAGGCTTAGGTGTGTTCATGTTTGATCAGAGACTGAACGAATAAATTTTTAATACATTTGAAATAAAATACTTATTAAATGGATGCCTATTAATAAGTATACATATATTACTTTGTTATATGTGTGTATTTGGTTTATTTTTAATTTTAAATATTGCTAGTGGTCATCATTAATGTTACTGTACGAGTATATCAAGCTTTCAGCTACCTTAGAATGTTGCAAATATATTTTTGCAAGTTTTCTTGTAAGCTGTTAAATTTAGGTAATTTTTTTTAATGTTTGGAAGTAACAAGGAAGTAGTGGTTATTGTTATAACTAAAGGCATCTGACCTGTAGTCAATTATATGCATTAAAAATAGACATACTCAAACAGTGGTTTATTTATTTTTTATCAAACATTACTTATATACTTTGATTTGTGGCTCATGATCCAATTCCTTTTTATACATGCTGTTATTCTTGGATTTTTTAACGAATGAACTGTACAACATTTTGTCGAATAAATATTCACCAACAGGATTATCTGCCATTTCGGATATTTTTAAGAGTCTGGCTAATTCGCAAATTGAATGATTCTGCAAAACAAAATATTGCATTAACACTCCATATAAAATAACCCAGTTGTTGCTAAAGTTAGAAAATTACCTGCTCCTTCATGAATTGAGTGGAGACAATATCCATCACTTCCAAGTCCTTATGTTTCTCAGCAATTTCAAAAACACTATCTAATTTCTGGAATAAAATCCTGTATTTAGTACTATTGCATATTTTTTCTATAGCAAGTAGTCTTCAATTAAGATTGAAACATTGTTATCAGAGATCAAAGCTGAGTGATTTAGTAGAAAATATTTCAATTAAAGCTCAAATTAAAAAAATTATATATAAAATATTTTAAAATCCATTCCGATTGACATGAAAATTTGTGTAGACATGTTTTTTAGAATTTTAAAGATAATTTTATGCTCACTGTGACTACAACTTGTTGATGGAATAAATATCACTAAAGTTATTTATTCATTCTTCTCTCATCGACAATTTGTAGCAAATATAATGATAGTCTGCTCATTAATTGGTATGCTATTGAAAAACTTCACCATTTTTTAAATAATGTTGCTTTCTATAATGCCAATACAATCACAAAATCATTGTTTAAAAAAAGATGTGGTAAATATGAAATCAAAATACCTACAATGAATACATGAATTTAAAAAAAAATTATAGAAAATCTTATTTTCTATAATTAAAAATTCTGCAGACGGCTTGAAATTACTAAAAACCTGTACCAGATTGTACAAATCTTTTTCTTTTCTTAATTTTTGTATTATTGTCAATGGTTGCTAAATGTATTTCTAATAAAGATGTGTTCCTCATCATAACCGTTGTGCCCAGTCCTCCAAAATTACAAACGTGGTCCTATTCACAATCTAATCATCTGATTGGTTGTCGGTTTAGATTTCTTCACATTTCAAGACATATACAGGATGTTCAGTAAATAATGGTATCCCTTTTAACAGATAATAGAAAAATTAATTATAATTAATTAATTTTTGAACTTTTTAACCCACTACATTTTAACTTTTGATACATTTCAAACAAAAAGCTGTAATAAACTATTTTTTTGGAATGCATAGTTTCAGGGGTAAAGAATTTCTCGGGAATTTAAAAAAAAACTATTTTTAGATAAATGAATTAAACGATGCTTTATTATGTGAAAAATAACAGAATAAAGGGTTAGGTGGGGGAAAAATCAGGCACACAAGTTTTTTCAAGGTAGAGCATACACTCGTAGCACACTGCAGGAGTGCGTGCTTATTGTAACTAACCCATGAGTATGCGCGCGATAATTGGCTTATAGACGACAGATTGAGTGTCGGATCAGACCGATACGAAGAGGATAAGAGGATGAGGAAAAAATCAATATTAAAGGCCAATTGCATGGTACAGACATTGGCTGACTGAAGGTATACATATAACAAATTTTTTATGCTGAATCGCAACAGAAACTTTAAGTGTTTTTCAAGAAATCACTTTATTTAACTGGATGGAAACGACTTAAAAAGTTGTCAACGACCTGAAATTTTGTCGTAGCTACATCAGAGTAACACAATTCAGGGACCATCGTAGGGGTTTTTCGATTGATTAACAATTTTCATTGTTATTAACAATTTATTGGAAAATTATTTGTTTTTTTTTTAATACTTTTTTTGAATGTTCATTAAATCAACAATTATTATTATTATTTTTTAATTTCGCTACGATGTTCCCTAGCTTTTAGTAAGTATATATCAGAAAATTTTTCTTTTTTTTTGTTCCATTAATAAGAAACCCTTCTAGCCATATTGCTCTCTGAAAAAAAGGTGTCGCTGTTTGCCATCACCTCCAGCCGCCATTTTGAATCCAAATTGTTTGAGAAAATTGACAATGCTACCTGAAAACATGTACAATAAATCTAAGCCAGTCATTCTACGGAAAAACGTGGAAAAATTGATAACAGCAATCTGACGACAGCATCTTGTAGGGGGGGGGAGATAGTTAATGAAAAATACATAAATTGGTACAGCCAATTTTGCCCCTGCTCCGAATAAACAATGTTCAAAGTAGTCAAAATGAGGTTTTTCCCAAATATAATTTTTCAGATTTTGCCCGCGTAGAGGGCGCTGCAACTTACAGATGATAGTTCCAAAATCTATTTATACCAGGTGAAAGATATCAATTTTGAATATCATGAAATTTTTTTAAAATAAGTTTTCTCTATGTCTTAAAATAAAAAACTTAAACGACCCTAAACTTTCCAGCTCTTCCACTTTCCTTGAACCAGCTCGTGAGATTCAAAATCGTGCCTGCTCCAAAATTTTGCAATATCTCGGCTTCCGCTTGACGCTAGAAGCTTCATTTTCATTTAAACTGGGTAGCTCGTCGAAAAAATGGCAACTAGACCACCAAGCAACCCCTAATATAAGGGTTGGTTCTTATAAGTGGTTTTGTAAAACATTTTTTCGTCGTGCAATTTGACTACAAATACCTTTAAACATATGGAATGCAATTAACAACCTCTAAAATGTTATCCAACCCCCAAACCAAGGGTTGGTTTTTATTATCGTCCTTTTNTGACCATGACCTTGAAGGTCATTTAGAGGTCAAGTTGAAAATTTTAAATGGAACCGTATACTTTTGATCCCGGAAATGAAAAGAGCGATAAATACCGGGTCATTTATTAAAAATCGATTTGACCTGTAAACGACCTTGAAGGTCATGGTCAAGGTTATATCCGAACGTAAAAATTTCCAGTTTTCCATTTCCGGGATCAAAAATATACGATTCCATATAAAATTTTCAGGTTGACCTCTAAATGACCTTCAAAGTCATGATCAAGGTCATGGTCAAGGTCACCGTTGGATTGCTCACTAAAAACCCTGCAACTTTTGTCCTAATCATTTTTTTGTTTGAGCAGTATTTTCTGAGATAGAGGGGGTGTTCCAAACTTTTTGAACACCCTGTATGTACACGTAAAAATATATAAATAAAAACGCTCTAACAAAAATAATAATTGTTTTTTGTAGAAGATATATTTTCTGTAAAATTTTAGAAAAAAAATTTGGGGGTTGGATAACATTTTGGTGATCTAGTTGTCATTTTTTCGACATGCTACCCAGTTTAAAAAAAATGAAGCTTCTACGTCAAATCCAATTTGTGGCCACATATAAAGGGTAATAATACCCTCATTTTTAGTAGATTAAAATTCGCCCATGACCATTATTGCAAAAGCTATTAACAATTAAAAAACACTGCAAAAATGCATGTTTCTTGCAATTATCTCGATAAATAAAACACCGATTTTAATGCATAAAAAATGGAATTGTAGTTTTTTTTAATACCTATAACTTTCATATGAAGACTTTTTCTCTATGTTGCCTCTGAAAAATTATATTTGAGAAAAACCTCATTTTGACTACTTTGATCATTGTTTATTCGGAGTGGGGTCAAAATTGGCTGTACTAATTTATGTATTTTTCATTAACTATCCCCCCCCCCCTACAAGATCCCATCGTCAGATTGCTGCTATCAATTTCTCCTTGAAATCGCTTTTTCCCTGTAGAATGACTGGGGTAATCCTTTTTATTCTGGAAACTATATCATCTTGTATCGATTTTTCTTTGAAAATTCCAATTTTTTAACCTCGAGAGTGGCGTTACCCCTTAATATAAATAAACCAGAACTCTAAATCAACTTGTTCTTCGAGCAAAATGTAAGAGATATTTTCCCCAGAAATTCAACTGGCAACAAAAATCACTAATAGAATTTTCAGAATACTCATTGGCATCGAAATTCTGAGGCTCCTGGTGGTACTCATTCCTCATATCTTTACCATTGGTTAACGTATTTTTAAAACTTAGTGGATTTCTACGTCTGCTAAGGTAATTAGTACTGAAATTTCATTCATCAATTGATATCAACAATTATCAGAGATATTTCAGAAAATATGACATTTTTTCTAATTTCAGCCTGTATCTTGAAAACGAAACAAATTATGACTCATGTTCATATGAAATTTTTTGTTTAAAATAAATTTTAACGGATACTGTTAGTTACTGGACACCCTGTGTATTACTCCTGAAGTGTTTTGGAGTTTTTTTTGAAAATTGTCTCAAAACATTAAGAGGCCTAAACCAAAGAAGTGGCAACCAACCTCGAAATTCTTCAACTATCGAAAACTGCATGGAAGCTATTTATCTGATTATTTATCTAAGCTTTAATCAGTACCTACTTAAAATACCTATTTGTCTTTAGTAATAAGAACTCTTAATAATTACTTTTTATAGCATAAAGCACTTCGAGATGTATAAATTTGACTGTACCTCTTTTACAAGTTTTTCCATTTCCAACGCTGCACTGAATGCATTGTTTATGCACATCCAATCCTGACACTCTGGTACATCAATATCAGACAAAGTAACATGGGCGCCTCTCAATAACTGGTAATTAATGAAAACCATAGCATGATCCAACTCCTCCTCATACATATCCATAAAAAATCCTTGGCAACCAGGTAAAGATACCTCTGTCCTTCCAAAATAGCATGCCATTGAAAGGTAAGAGAAAGCAGCATTGAGTTCTGCTGCAATTTGGTCATTGACTGATTTTTCTGTGTCTTTGTGGTATTTATGACGACCTGGTGGATCTTTGTTATCATCTTTTTTGGGTTTTGTGCAGAATTTTGTTTGGGACATATTTTGGTTTATGAGATTTTCGTAAACACTCGAATCCTTTACATGCACATTTCTATGAGGGGTAGGCAACAGATTCCTTTTAGGAAACATGCTAGGCTTGAATGATTTCAACTGTTGGGAATGTGGTACGAGAAGTTTGACGAGGTTGTTGAGAAACAGAAATTTAATAGTTTTAGTCATGTTATTAAAAGCCATGACTAGTAAAACATTTTATATACACTGGATATTATTTAAAATTTTGAAAATCATTTTGACAGTGACAGTTTTTTAACCTATAAAGACTGAAAACAAAAACTATAATTTTATCAAAGCTGACAAGGCCATTTTTCTCATTTTGTCAACAAAATTTTATAATGAAAATTTCAAATGCATAATCCTGATTGGTACTGTATGTTCTTTGCAGATGTAACTGATTAAATGAAAGAATTTTTTTATAATAATTATTCTTCTAAACTTTTTGGACAGATTGTAATAGTTTGGAATAGCTATACTGTCATAACGTAGTATGCAGATTGCACTGCAATCATTGCAGAGCTAGTGAACTTCAAAATTAGCATATATTTTGGATATTTGCAACAAGTCTACAAAAAAAACCCTATTGAGCAGTTCTCGCCATAAAATACAAATATAGAACACAGAGTAGTTCCGCTCAACTCAATTTTTCACCAATCTTTCCATTTCTCGCGAGGCTCCACAGACGTCACGATTACACCCAGAATCGGCTTAGAGACATCTACGACGATGCAGACAAGCGCGAGACCAAATGATGTGCGCTTGCAACCACAAGAAAAGAACAAAATGGAAATTCACCAATATTTTTCTAAAGTTTATCCGCCAAACTACCCAAATGACACGATTGCTGGCAAGAGTTTCCGTTCCCTCGGATGACCACGACAACGTATGACACTATCTCCACGAGGTCAGCCACGAGTGCAAGGAGTGTCAAAATGTTTTTTTATCCACTTTCTAAAATGTGACAAAAATAATAACATCCTAGGGACTTCAAATTCATATCCCTAAATGACCTTCGGGTCAGTACTAACCCACATCAGTTTCAGACCTTCAACTCCTCAGAGACAGCCGTATTTGCCGAGGACGCAGTTTTCCCGGTTCCAAAATAATTTAATTTTGACGAAACTTGGTGAAAGTATTCCTTTCTGTGTCTTAAATAACCGTAAATCTTTTTAGATTAAAAAATCAAGAAGTTTCTGATATTAATTTTTTTCCGGTCTGAAACACTTTTTTTTTTTTTTCAAGAAAAATTCTACATAGAAAAATCATCGTACAGAGTTCTGCCGGTGATCATTTTTTTGTTTTGACATATACTTTTTGGTGAAATAAAAAAATCTGTAATTACGGTTCAAAAACATCAAATTCATTCAAAAAAGAAAAAATGACTTGCAACAATTAATTTTTCAGTAATTGTTGATAATTAAAATTCAAAAACTGATTAAACCATTCAATTCTACGGAAAAAGTACAAGAAAAATTGTCTCACTGTTTGACCCAAAACTTTATTTTTGTACAGTATTGCTATAAACATCCAAGTCGAATTAATAAAAAAAATATCTATTGGAGGAAGTCATATCAATATAAAAGTCAATACAGTACAAAATATTCAACAATTTTTTTTAATCAATAATTTAAAAAGTTGTACCTAATAAAAAATAATACGAATTTATGAAATGTTTTATTATTTCTAATTAGTATTGCTAATAGTGGTAAAAAAAATTGTTGGATATTTTGTGCAATATTGACTTTTATACTGTTATGACTTCATCCAACAGATATTTTGAGTGTTCAGGAAAAATTTTAAATGATAGCTAAAACAAGCTACAAACTTTTTAAGCGATTACAATAGTAATATCATCTAATTCATAATTAAAAATTACTTTACATTTTATCATAAAAACAGCAGCAACGTATTTAAAAAATTTACCTGATGATGGCCCTTCGAAGACGAAACGTCGGATTGCAAAAATGTTGACACCATTGTATAGGGCGAAAAAAGTGGCATTGTAAATATGCAATTTATTTTAAAATTCGCTTTCAAATAAAGCCAGAAAAAATTTTTTGACAAATTTCGGGTTTTTTCGGATATCTTCAGAACTACACAGAATTTTAAAACTTTCTAAGCGGCATATTGTTAGGTATAAAAAAAACACAACATTTTTCTAATCTGAGCCACCCCATTTCTCTTAAGTTTCCTAGATCCTAATGCTATCCCATCCTTATCTTAGACACACTGTATATCTATGAATTCAACAAAATTTAAAAAAAAATAAGTACACTAATCGATCCTACAGAAAAAAAATAATTTATTTGTTTTATTAATTCACTATTCGGCTTATGTTTATAGCAATACTGTACAAAAATAAAGTTTTGGGTCAAACAATGAGACAGTTTTTTTTTGTATTTTTTCCGTACAATTGAATGGTGTAATCAGTTTTTGATTTTTTTTTAATTTAAACAAATTATCAACAATTACTGAAAAATTCATGGTTGCAAATAATTTTTTTATTTTTTTGCTTTTTTGAGCATGTTTTTGAACTGTGATTACAGATTTTTTTTATTTCACCAAAAAGTATATGTCAAAACGAAAAAAATGATCACCGGCAGAACTCTGTATGATGATTTTTCCAAGTAGAATTTCTCTTTGAAAAAAAAAGTGTTTCAGAACGGAAAAAATGAATATCTCGGAAATTTCTTGATTATAGATATCTAAAAAAATTTACGGTTATTTAAGACACAGAAAGGTATACTGTTACCAAGTTTCATCAAAATTAAATTATTTTTGCGGAAATGAGAAATAAAAAACGAAATATCAGAAAACCTATTTTTCGCATTTTTCTCGGAAATTTTGAGGTTATCTTAAAAAGTGACCTCTACAAAAGTTGAAGATTTTTGCATAATCGACAACTTTTGTATTGGATACTTTTTTGTTTGACGTCAACTTTCGCCAGAAATCCCAATGATACAATTTTCCACAACTTTTCAACCCCCCAAATCAACCCTCCGTCACCACATTTTTTTTTTGTTTATTGTAAGACCCTTTACCATTTCCACTTATAAAAGTCCAGGTAACAATTTTCTTTTTTTTCCCTCTAAATGAGTTATTTCGATCGGTCTAATACCTGGACTTTAAGGAGGCCGTACACTCTCAAATTCAAGTGCTTTTAACCAGTGCAAAATCAGTGATTTTCATACACTAGAGTGACAGACCCGCAAGTGATAGATATATGGGTTCAGTTGAAAACCCTTAATATGAAACATTTAAAGTAAGACAAAGTTTTATTAAAAACGAGTGCCACTGTCCAAAATGGGTGTCAGGTAAAACAAAGAAAAAAATAGAGCGTGGAACATCAACCCGAAGCAAAACTAGAACTCACAATGGAGGAATAGCGAAAATATCCATGTCCTTCTCTGACATCCCTCATGGCTAATGTTAATGGGGAAATTCTCGAGATACTTGGGACCCCTTCATCGGTGAGCAGGTGACTAACGTCCCAGCACAGCAGGTGAAAACGGACCCAAACAGAACTCCACCACGATCTAGTCAGACCGAGCAAAATCTGCAGACATGGCGCCCACCGTGGGGGACAGAATAGACAATCGACCTACCTAAATCCGTGACAATACTTTATCAGGGAGTCATTTCCACACTTTTAAGAAATTTTCCCAAAGAAACAGACAAGAAACAGGTAAGATGTTTTGGGCTCGATTTTAAAGAAAAGTTGAATGAAGATTCTTTGATTCGTTAAGAGATATAAGGCATTTATAATTTTGTAATCTTTTGCGAGATCGAGTAATTTTTTTGTTTGTGCAAATCTTTTATTTTCTTGAAATTATTTTTTATTGTTTTTTTTCAAAGAATTCAATGGTGTACATCAGGTTTTTCTATGAACAGGTATAAACCACATACACATTTAAAAAAAAAATTGAATTTTTTATTAAATTTATTTTCTCGTTATTTTATCATTTTCTAGGTTGAAAAAAATCTCGATTCTGAAAATTTCAAATCGTTACCTATTTTAATTTCTAAAGGTCACTCATAATTATTTTAACTTTCAAAGTAATGTACCTATGTTTTCGAGCGACCTCTAAAAATTAATATCATCGAACTAATATTTTTTTTTTATTGAATTTGATGAACAAAAAAATAGAAATAAATCACGACACTTAAATTTTAAAAAATTAAAAAATTATAAATATTTGATACTCGCAGTGCGGTAGTGAATTTTGCCTCAAGAAATTTTTTAAATGTCTTGTGATTTATTTCTATTCTTTTGTTCATCAAATTCAATAAAAAAAATTATTAGTTCGTCGATATATTATATATATTTTATAGGTCGCTCGAAATCATTTTATGTACACTACTTTTAAAGTTAAAATAATTATGAGTGACCTTTAGAAATTAAAGTATCGATTTGAAATTTTCAGAATCGATTTTTTTTCAACCTAGAAAATAATAAAATAACGAGAAAAAAAAATTTAAATTCAATTTTTGACGATTTTGGAAATTTTTAAAAATCTTGAGCGATCTCTAAAAATTTTTTTTTTGAGCTGATTTTATGAGCGTCTTAAAACATGATAAACTAACATATTTTCACAACACAAAAAAAAATATTCGTTTTTTTTGGGCCACCCTAATATATATTTTTTAACTGTTCTTTACTGTATAAACTTTGATATCATTTGATTTTTAGTAAAAATTTACTCCACACCTTCCAATCATATATTTCACAGCGCAAATTGTATGTTTTATACAATGATTTTAAATCTAATGATTTCTTAGCAACTTCTGGTGTACCTCAAGGATTCAATCTTGGACCATTTCGTTTTATTTATTAAAGGTTTCAAATCTAATTCTTCCTCAACTATTTCTGGTGTACCTCAATCGTAAAAATAATTACGTATCCTTTTCTTTTAAACTATATATTTTTTTATGTTCAAAATCCCAACTATTCAACTGGAAACACTGGTTTATATCAAAACACAATATATGTACTTCACTTATTAAACTACTTAATTTTCATAGAGGTCTACTAATGAAATTTTACATAAAATATACCTATTAATTAATCTAAACCATATCAACATCAATTTATATCAACTACTATTTCAGTACCGTCACTAGCGATGATTATGTTGTGTTTTACTCTCTTATGCAGACTCATGGCCGACTGTTGTTTGAATTTTTGTCCGCAGAAACGGCAACTGTAAGGCCTATCCGTTTGATGTACCATATTGTGTTTGTACAGCGAGGAATATTCGGTAAATCTCTTTCCGCAATCCTAGAATGGAAAATAAAATTAGTTTAACCTTATGATTATAATGTTATAATCATAAGATTAAACTAATTGTAAAACATACAGGGTTTATATTCATTGCCTATTAAAATATTATGCCGGAACAGTCATATACACAGAGTGTCCTAATTTTAGGCTGTCCATTAATCTAAGAAGTTAAAATTAAATAAAATTTAAATATATTTTATTAAATAGATCTTAAGAACATGCATATGTGGAATCTATAATTACATCAAAATGGCAAATTCTGCATCTGCTACAATTTTTTTTAAGGAAACACATTTGAAAATATTGACCATTTTTGAAGTCTCTCATCACATTATTTTCTAATCATATGTATCAAAGTTATTAGCCCTTAAATGGGACAAGAACATTGGCAGCCCCAAGTTTTCTTCCACAATTATAGATTCATCTGATGAATTATACCGGGTGTCCCATTAAAAAAAATACATTTGAATATCTCTTATGTTAAGCGTTTTAATGAAAAAATTCGCATTTTATTTTATTAAACCCTATGGGGGCGGCTGACGTGTACTTAGTCCATAACTTTTAAAAGTTAAGTTGAGACTAGTGAAAAAAGTCCCTTATCAAAAATTCAGAAAATTTCAAAATCTACTAAAACAATATCCATAAAACTATACTGTAAATTTTGCAAAAATTTTGATTATTAAAATTATACAGGATGTTCCAATTTAGAAATTGTTCTTTCCAGCTTGGTATATAAAACACTTCACTAGCCAATTTTTTAAAAATATTTCCCACTTTTGAGGAAAAATGTAAAGATCTGTGCTAAATTTTTTTGTGTAGCCATTTTAGAGTTATTAAAAAAAATCTGATTCAATTTGGCACCATATTTTAGAAACACCCTGTATAAGAACTGTTTACCAAAAAAAATTGAATTAATTTGAATTATTAACTCTATTGTAAGTACGAACCTTTACTTGGCAAATATATGGCTTCTCTCCAGAATGTATGCGTACGTGATTTTTGTAGTTCGTCGATGAAGAAAAGGCCTTTCCACAATTTGGATAATTGCAAGTATAAGGCCTCTCTCCTGTGTGAGACCTTACATGAACTTTTCTAATGTTGGATGTTGTAAATGACTTCCCACAGTACTTAATAGGACACATAAAAGGTTTTTCACCTAAAAAGAATTATATTTTGTCGATGGTCAACTAGACTATAATTATTAATAATACAATTCACAAAAAATATATATATACCTGTGTGAATTCTGACATGTTTTTGAAGATCACCAGATGTTTTAAAAGCCTTTTGACAAATCGAGCAGCTATACGGCTTCTCTCCTGTATGGGTACGTATATGAGCTTTTAAGGAGTAATTAGTAGAAAAGGTTTTGTCACAGCCATCTTCAGTACATGCGTATGGTTTAAAACACAAATGATTTCGCATATGAACCTAAAAGATTAATATAAAAAAAATTTAAATGTTTAAGAGTACATTATATATTTTTTTAGAAAAAGACATAACGGTAACAATATATAAAAATAAGTCACTGTACTGTATAGTTTGTTTCTAAAGTATGTACAGGATGACCCATTTAGATCAGATTTCAGAATACTAAATGTGATAAGACGAAAAAAATGTAACATCGACGCTTTAGTACGAAAACATGTTATCTCAGATTTCGGTTGGAAAACATACTATCTCAAATTTCAGTTGGAAAACATGCTATCTCAAATTAAGCTTGGAAACATGCTGCGACAAAGTTTAAGCTGCTTGCCCACTGAGAAGCGCTGCGAAGCAAAGTTCTTTTGGTGGCACGCTTCTCTTAGCGTGACTTCAGTGGTCAGACTTCCATTTAAAAGTATTGAAGTTTTCTGAGAGGAATAAATTCTCTTCGCTTCGCTTCGCTCTGCTTCTCCTCAATGGGTGAGCACCTCTAGGGTAAATTCGTTACCCGTCTGTTGATAGTAGTTAAGAGAAAATATTTTGTAATAATGCAACCAAGGGATCTAATCAAACAAAAATTCTAATAACACAGAAGTCCCAATTTAATGATTTTCAAGGTGTTTTTTAAATGGAACACCCTGTATATTATTTTATTTTTGGAGTAGTAATAGTGGAATAGTAAGTAAAATTTTATATAGTTTTCGTTAATAATGCCCTAACATCGATATTTTCGAAAATATTTCGACTTTTTCATTACAAACTTGTAAATTACTTATCTGTGACGATAAAGTTCCGCACAATATTTATATTTTTTATATGTTTGGGATACGACTTCGCTACTGATTTTTTTCAATTGCAGCCCCCCATATTTTTGAACAAAATCGAATGCCTTATAGTTTTTTTGAGTCTATTAGGAGTTGTCTGTTTATTATCATTCTACATACCCTTTCCAGTCATAAAGTGCAATAAAATGTCTACTAATAATATTGTAACAAAAGCCGGGTCGCATAGTAATTTATTTGTTAGTTCTGGGAACGGATGGGCCAAAAGGTAAAATATTTCAGTCAACACAAATTATCGGAAAGTTAATGGTCTTCAAGTAGGTAGCGTCGTCCTTCGGAGAAATTTAGCAATATTTTTTAACAAGTTCACTTAAACTGTCAGGGCCATGTGTTGAGCATCTAGTACAAAGACAAAAATCGATATTTCAAATAACGCGCGAAACTACGAGAAGAGCGTAGATTCCAAAGTAGAACTAAATTATATTGTTAAACTGATAATTGATAATAATTGAAAGAGAAAAGGATATAAATTAGCTGGTTTTTTGACGGATTTTCCAAGCTATAAGAGTAGATTAAATGAGATCGACTAATCCGTCCCGTAATTGATACACGGAGTCACTAGAGGAAGGCTAGGGTTACTTGTAAGTAAGTTTAGTTTCAGAATTCTTATATAAATATAAAATTAAGTCAATTAGGTAATTATTAATCTAGTATAGTTATCCAAGCGTCCCGATATTCAGGTCCCCGCCAATAAGACAACCAAAACTTCTGGACCCAAGAAATGGGCGTGTCGAAGCGAGGTGGAATTCGGGGAAGATCTCGAAAAAGTGAGCTCTTGCTTAGATTTCACATTGAGCAGTCGACCTAGTTTTAGATTAGAGTCTCGGGATAGTTAATTAAATTTAATAATGGCTAGTCTTTTCCAAATTTTGCTATAAAGCGCGCATTCCCTGAATCTCGGTACGCTATCGCGTGTCAATAAATTAATGAATAATGTTGCTCGAGCCGTTGTGTTGTTATTTTTGTTTGTTTGCTTTGTTTATTGTTATTAAAACCCTTCCTGGAAGTTTTGGTATTTCCTTTTATTTCTCCAACTTCAGTATCACCCTGTATAGTCAGCCATGGGATTACAGTCCACGTAAGCAATGAATGGTAAGTGCTTGGAATTCATTCTCTGAACATACAACATTTCTAAGTTCCCAAGTATTAATTAAAGTATAATGATAATTATAAACTCCTTTTCGAGAATTAAATAGTAAACTCTTGTGAAATCCAGACTCGTTATGATACCGGTCATAACGAAAGGTAGATGACACAGCCACACACAAAAAAAAAGTTGGGTATACTTTTTATGCGACATATATTTTTCGTAGTAATTTGGCCTCCTGAACACGAATCTAGGGTCAGAATGGGCCCATCACGTCACAATTTTTTCCTAACCTCAAAAAACTTGTGAAAAATAGTGAAAATTGATGAAAATTTACTGGAAAAAATTGGAAAAAATTTATTTCCACATCAAATAGTACATTTTTATGTAACAGACTCTGCTGAATTCAAATCCACTGTCAGAATTGAGCTAGAACGTGTGGCTTTTTTCCTAACCTCAAAAAACCAAGCAGGAATCGCTATTTTCAAATTCTGAGCGGATTTTGACCAGATATTGTATAAAGGGGTTTTTTGGGTCGCTGCTTACGAATATGAATTCACATTGTAAAAATTCACACATCTGAAGTCAGATTTTCATAAATCAAGGTAAAAGATTCCACTCCGTCTAAAAATGTAACTTCGCTTAATAAAATGACTTAAGGACTCTACACATGTAATGATGTGTGATGTGCTTGTTTCCATGGGACAAGACAAAAAAGTTTCTACTTTATTCTTTAATTTATTTAGTCGTGCATGGGCTTATGGTTTTCCAATCAGATTTTTTTAAATACTATGCAGTTTTCCTATGGCATTTAGATGTTTTTATTTCTTAATAATTTTAAAGTTCAAGGAAAAGGACACATTACTGCCACACAGCACATCACTGCATCTGCTTATGCCTTCAATCTAAAAATGTGACTTTGCCGAAAAAATGCCGCCTACTCGGCCTAAAATTATGACTCTGCCTACAAATTTTACCTTGATTTATGAAAATCTGGCTCCAGATGTGTGATTAATGAAGGTGAGATCAACCAGCAATCCTTATGATGCCAAATTTTACTGAAATCGGTGGATTTCAAAAAAGTACACCCGCCATATTGGATCAGCCATCTTGAATTTTTACAATGTGAATTCATATTCGTAATCAGCGACCCAAAAAACCCCTTTATACAAAATCTGGTCAAAATCCGCTCAGAATTTGAAAATAGCGATTCCTGCTCGGTTTTTTGAGGTTAGAAAAAAAACCACACGTTCTAGCTCAATTCTGACAGTGGATTTGAATTCAGCAGAGTCTTTTACATAAAAATGTACTATTTGATGTGGAAATAAATTTTTTTCCAAATTTTCCCAGTAAATTTTCATCAATTTTCACTATTTTTCACAAGTTTTTTGAGGTTAGGAAAAAATTGTGACGTGATGGGTCAATTCCGACCCCAGAGACGTGTTCAGGAGGCCAAATTACTACGAAAAATATATGTCACATAAAAAGTATACCCAAATTTTTTTTTGTGTGTGGCTATGTAATTAAAGAAACAACACCTCAGGCTACAATATTTTCACGTTCAATCTCTAATTCGACTGGAGTAGGACCAGTAAACAATCTTCATCTAGATTCTGTGTTTTATATAAAAAATCTTTCACACAAAATAACTAATGTTTTCGAAAATGAATCAAACATAAATAGCAAATAAAAATATGCCAAGTGGCGCTATGGCAACTTTTCCGAACAAGTTGCACATATTATTTTCTATCACAAGTGCGAGTCGTTATGGGACCTATAGCATAGGGGGTTATATGCATGGAAAGTGCCAGATAGTACAATGGTGTGACGTTACTTTCATAGCGCAACGCTCCAGCAAATAACATCACGTCGTTGTACTATCTGGCAATTTCCATGCACATAACCCCCTACACTATAGGTCTCATAGCAAGCGCGTGTGATAGAAAAGATGATTTTCTTAAATTCTCTTTTTCTTGTAATTATAATTGTGTATTACTATGTATATGCAGACCAAATATCTCAACATCTAATTTCACGTATCATATATCTCTTTAACCATAAAATTAATGTTAAGAATAAGAATAAACGTAATTGTGCTTGGTGCATAAATTATGTATATACCTATTATAAATATTTTCCAATTAATTTAGATGTCATTTATTAATAAACAATGAAACTTTGGTATTCGATGTAAATAAAAATACGTTTTTAACAGTATATACAGGGTGTTTTACAAGCTCTATGACAAACATTTTTTCGTATATGAACATAGGTCCGATATGTTTTTGTTTAGAAGTTACAAACAACCATTTTAAAAAATATAATTTCATATTTCAAACAAAATAGCCTGACAAATAAAAATGATGGTTGCTATAACAATAATAATAATTATTAAATGTATGTTTAAAGATTAAACATTAGTTATCCTTTATTAACCAAATTAACAAATCTAGACTATAAAAATGATGCACTAAAAACTGTGTGGGCAGGTTGATGTTTATTTGGGTATCATTATCGGTATTCTCCTGCTGCTTGTCTGGCGTTCCCATTGGAATACCCATATGCAATGACAATATCTGTATACTTTTCAGTTGTAAATAAATGCTTTTTTTATTTAGTACCTTAACGCTAAGTATCAAATGAATAAACAAAATGATAAATAATAATTATTGTTATAGAAACCATCATTTTTATTTATCAGGCTACTTTGATTTGAAATATGAAATTATATTTTTTGAAATGCTTGTAACTTCTAAACAAAAACAAATCAAATTAACAGCTACCAACTGTCAAAGTTTGTCAGAGTTTGTAGAACACCTGGTACATATTTTTATTGAAAAATAAATATTTAAATGAAAATAATGACTAAAACATATTTTCAATATTTTGTATAGTAGCCCCCAGAAACTATTACGTCGTTTAGTCTTTGCCCCATTGAATGGACAAATGAAGCACAATATTATCTGGGGATGGTGGCCCATCTGTCCTCTATATGTTGCCTCAACATGTCCCCGTGATGGAGGTTGTTTGACAAATCTCGAGTTGTGTGCGCCCAAAGGTTTTCTATACGGTTTAAG